AACCAGTGGAGATTATTGACAATAAAAGCATACATCGACTGGCGCAAGGAAAGAATTCTGGAAAATAAACTTTATTTTAAAATTTGTGGTGTTGATTTTTCAATAATTATAAAGCTGTTTTTAATAACCTTTTATTGTAAAGTATGAGTAAGGATTACTCCATGTACTATACCATGTATTGTATCTATTTTGTTGTTGTCTCCAGTTGCAATCAACCTGTCAATGATGACATACAAACACTTCCGCATGTGTACAGCGACCTCTAGTAAAGCATAATAGAACTGCAGTCGTCTAACATTACATGCTGAGTCACCACCAACATGCAGCCGTCAACATTCAATCAATGGGCAGTCAAATCAAGCATTCTACATATACTGTATCAAAGTGAAAAAAAAATCCAGCTGACATGTTACAAAGAAGAAAACTGGGTGTTTGTTTGTGTCCAAGAAAAACATGTTTTAGTTGAAGGACTATTGGCTGTGGAAGGATACAAAAGTGTAATGCGGCCTGTAATTGACAGGTGACCTCACTAGCAGCGCATTCTCTTTTTAGCGAACGCCCACGAAAGCCCAAAAATTGTCGCACGAATCTTAAAATTTTTGGTGTGGTCATGTCCAGAGTGTGCTCCCGGGTGTCCATGCCAAGTTTGAAGCGAATCCATCGAGCCGAACTTAAATAAATCGAAATTTACTGGGTTTTTTCTCTTCTTGGCGAACGCCCACTTTACTTCCGGGTTCGCTGCGAACGCCCACTACTCTTTGCAAAATTTCGGCCCTCGCGCAACGCCGGCAAAATCCACCACCACAAATATGTTCCTGTATGCCTCCCCTGAATTTCTGACAAGTTTCCGTGCTTTACGAGCTTTTAAAGTACCCATTTTTTTACAAAATATGCGCTGCGACGAGCTCGCCGCCTCGGCGTATACGTTTCACCTGGTCACATGACTTGCGGTCGGGGACTGTTCGATAATTTCATGATCAGCGGGAGGGAGGACAGGAAGGGCAGAAAAACGCAATCTAC